CTCCTGTGCACAAGTTGTCATTCTGTCCCAAGTGAAGTTTAAAGTTTAGCCCACTGTAGTAAGTTTGAGAAATTAAATAGTATTGTAATCAAATGATCGGCTCTGTACCTATCACTAGGTTTTATGAGGTGTAAGTTGGGTATGATTTGAGTCAAACAATATTTATATTTACTGTGTGTAGATCAGAGTAAGATTTTACCTGACAAAATATTGAACCTCGTACAAATGCGTAGTAGTAAAGTGCTCCAGAGAACTTGGTGAGAAACCGTGTCTGCCTTTGATTCTGTGTGTGTGTGTGCGTCGCTGCAGAAAACTGTATCCAAATCAAAGCAATTGGTGAAATTAAATTAATTTAGAGAAATGAGACAAAAGCCATGGGTGAGGATGGGAGGCAGCAGCAGTACCTTTAAATGCAATAAGATGTTCTGGCCTTTCTTGTTGATTGTTTATGGCAATTCAGTCCATTTTCTCCTTTTTGGGTTGTCTTCTGTTCTTTTGGGGCATGAAGTACTGGGGGTGAAAAACTTTTTTATTTAAGGCTTCTCCCACTTATAATCACTTGCCCACTCTTGGTTTCTAGTACTAAGTATCAACAGCAGTGTGCAAATAATACTAGATATAACCCACTCTGGGACCTCTCACCCTACTGACATGAGCTGCACATGACAGCGTTGGCGTAATATATGTGGCAAAACACTCAGTGCAGCTGTAACTTTTAGTGTAAATTCCCAGTCACACAAAATCTCTCCATACTTGACATGAGAAAAGATATACTTCTTAAAAAAAAAAGGCAGTTCTGGTGGTATTGGTGTAGTTTTTATTTTACTGTTGGTGCACTGCTTTTCTCATGGGCCTTTTATTCAGAGTATCTGTGAAGCTCTTATCTCTTAAGTAATATCCTGGTAAGTTTTAATGTTGATATGTGTGAGTAAGACTTAAGATCCAGGAGATTTTGCATTTACAAAATTTTACTGAAGTTATTCTATGTAAGTATGTGTGGTTTCTATTAGGCATAGACATTCAGGTTAGCAGCTACCTACTAGAGTAAAGGTCCGGCCATACTGTGATGCAGCTATTGAACTGTGGTTGAACACAAATTCTCTGGATTATACATTTAGAGAATGTCAGTGATGGGATGCTGCAACAAGCATCCAGTGCTGAGAGTTTCCTAAGTGAAAGAAATCACTCTTGTGTTTGTCCTAGGGGCTTCAAGAAGCGAGCACCACGTGCTCTCAAGGAAATCCGTAAATTCGCCATGAAGGAAATGGGTACTCCTGATGTTCGCATTGACACCAGGTTGAACAAAGCAGTCTGGGCTAAAGGAATAAGGTAGGTTTCTGCAGCTTTCCTTATTGGGTGAGCAGAACGTTGTAACTGTATTTGTAGAGATACAGGACTTGGAGGGGTAGAAAAATTTGTATGCTTCTTGCAGTATTTGTGTTTTCTTTGTAAATGGTTCCTTTCTTACAGTGCACGTGCCAAGCTAATCTTTCCGTCACCTCTGTGTTCTGGTCAGTTCCCTCGGCCTATTTGTAGCAAAGCTTGGGTAAACTCTTGGACTGAAAGAACTTTCTCCTACCTCTAATAAGAATAAATTGAGGCAATGAAGAATGTGAATTTGGGAGTAGGGGGAGAGGAAGGATTGAGGTACTGTAATACTGTAGTACCTTGATCCCTATTGCAGCAGACAGTTCTTAAAAACATGGCTTTTTAGGGATATCTACAATTCCAGGCTAAATACCTGGATTTTGTGTAATGTGTCCGAACAGGATTAGGTTTCAAGGCACGCTGAATTGATAAATGCTACACAGGGAAATAATGAGGTGTGTTTTAAGTAGGGCCATTAATCTTTTCTTGAAAAATCAAATGGTGAGTTGTTTGGGGACCAAACAATTACAACTTCTTTTAAATCACTGCTACAGAGGCAAAAACTGATTTGGCATTTGAGTGTGTGAAGGTGGTCCAAAAGGACTCCTGTGGGACCTCTTAAAAACGATAATAAAAGGTTAACTGGTAGGGATTAATACTGTGAGTGATGCACTGAATACACATGAACTGTTTTAAACTGTTTTCTAGGAATTAGATTGCTCTGACATGTTTATAATCCTTTATCTGGAGTTGTGTGTGTAGGCAAACCCTTCCTTGAAAAACAGAATGGGAAGATGAGTTACTGGATCTTTTGTGCAGGGGTTCTCTGTCCTTCCTGGTGAGCTGTTCACGTTCACATGCAGTGAAGAAGTAGCCAGGTGACATAACCAGAGCATAATAGTGAGGCTACTAACCAAGACTTCCGTATATTAGCTGGTATGAGTGTGGTCTGTGGAGTAAGAAGTCAGCACGTTTTTTCCAGCATGAGTTTTAATTGCAGGTTTTCGCTAGTTAGTATAGATAATGTACACAAAGTAAATACTTTCCTCTGAAAGTATCAGAGGAGACTAAAATCACCATGTCAGCTACCATGAAAGTCAGTAATCTAGATAAAGTAGTCGAAATAGGCTTTTGATTTGTTTCGAGAAGGGAGTAAATTGAAACAAGTTTCTGTGTCTTAATTCCTCTATCTGTCTGATACTGCAAGTGTGCTCTTGCGAACATATAGCAAGGAAGAAGTTGCTTCACATAGTCTGTGGAGCAAAGTACTCTGAGCAGGAGTTTTCCAAAATCCTGCGTTCATTTGAGGTGGGAAGATCACATGAAAAATGGCGTGGACAAATAATTTGTGCCTTCCCTCAGCAGCATATCTGGGATAGCATTAGGGGAGAACACTAAGCTGTGATTTGCCTATTAAAAACAAAATCATGTAAGTGATTTAGTTTATGAAGAAGAAACATTGATGAGTTGTACACCTGTGAATAAGATCTTATTTCAGGTGTAATGCTCACTAGAATAACCACGTGACTTCTGGCATACAGCTTGGGCAGCACCCTGACTCTTGGCAAGGGGCCTCAGGCTTTCACAAGATTGTTGGGGTTTTTCTCCTCACTATTTTCTGTTCCCGTAAGAAATGCTTGTTAGTAACAGCTGCTTACTAATTATATTCACACTATACTTCATAGTGTATTTCCTGGATCAGTAGTAGACTGATGATGCTCTCCTGACTTCATGCTCCCACTAGATTATGGATTCATCTCATTCAAGGCTCAGTTAAATCTTACCTGCTCACTCTAACAAAACTAAAAAGCTCCTCTAAGGCAAGCAGTACAGTCTCCAAGGTCCAGAATTTCACTGATTGTTACGATGCTGAGATAGAAACTGAATTAACTTATCATGTCTTTGCACAGATAGGCAAATCTTAAGAATTTGAGGGGGATTAATAACCATGGTGCAAAGAACTTTTCTATGAATTAGGAGGTTTCAGTACATACTTTACTGAATGTTAATCTATTTTAGGAATGTTCCTTACCGGATCCGTGTGCGCTTGTCCAGAAAGCGCAACGAGGATGAAGATTCACCAAACAAGCTGTACACGCTGGTTACCTACGTACCAGTCACGACATTCAAAGGTGAGGTTGTGTGCCGCCTCTCCTCCTCCATGCCATGTTTTTCTGAGGAGGTAGCAAAGTGGGACAGCTCTTCCTGTAATGCACAGTTCAGGTGAAAAGCATGCTGAAGGGGTGAAACCGCTGGCTTAAACTAGCTCTGCTGCAGAGAACAGGGCTGCTAGCTTGCCTCCAGTCAGGATTAAAAGGTATAGAATTAAGTGAAATTTAAATTTTAAGAGAATGAAAGACACTGGCCATAGTTGTTAGCGTAGTTTTAAGGTTTCATTTCCCATACAAAGTACATCAGCTGATGCCAGACGCTCAAGCAGGTTGGGCCTTTTCTGCTCATCAGCTGAGAAGTCTCCTAATTGCAGAATTGATACAATGTGAAGTTTATGTTTTACCATTTACTGAAATACTTGCCAATATAGTTTGCTCTTCCAGAACCAGGTCAGCAGACTAGCTTTGAAACTGTAGATGCGCTTTCATGTGAAAACTTAACCTAGTAATAGGTGATGATACAGTTTCTTGTTTTGCAGGTCTACAGACAGTCAATGTGGATGAAAATTAAATTGATTTTCATTACAATAAATGGACAAAAAGAAAGCTTAAGAATAAGTTGTTTTTATTGTCCAGTCTTTTCAAGCTCTCATCCATGAAGCACCGAGTTGAACAGGTGAAAGCATCCTAAAAGTGTCTTGCTTTTGTTAGGCTTGTACATAACGGTGTAAGGTTTTTAATTAAAGATACTGTAGCCTTCTAAGGAGGAGATGCAGTGTTCCTATGTGCGTGGCAAAGTCCTGGTGTTTTTGTTGCAATCTGTGGGTATAAATAGCCACTACACAGGCATTTTAATGCCAAGCTTGTTTAAAAAACAAAAGAAGACATAAGAACAAACAACAGTCTGGGGTGTGGTTGGCTTTTTTTGTTACATACTACTTCCTATACGTAAACTCTTGCAGGTAAAGTAAACGCCCCATATTTGGTCTCCTGGGGAGCATCCTTTGGCTTCTCCCAAGCAGGTCTGTGCACTACACTGAAACATAGGGTTCTGACCAGTGAATTAATTGTGAGCATGCTAGCTCAGGGAATTTGTTTAATGAAGTAGGGAGCAAAGGCGCTTACCTTCCATAAATCAATAAATACTGACACTGCAAGTCTAGTACAAAAAGGGTTTATTGAAAAGTGCATGTTCTCACAGACCAACATCGGAAGCACAGTCCATGGACACTTAACATTTCAGCAAGACATACAAATTGGAATACGGTCAAATATATTAAAATAGTTTCAATTACCAGCATTGAAACAGCTTTCAGTATTAGTGCAAAAAAGGCAACCCAAACAGACTGCAGACAGTAGCTGAGAAGTGTCTTCCCTTGTTTAAAAAAAAAAAACCCGAAATACAAAATGAACTAGAGCCAGCCTCTGCTCTCCCAGTGCGGAAGAGGGCTTCAGTGTCTTCACACTGTAGACAGATGTTTCCTTTTACATTCAAAACAAGAACGTAATTAATAAATCAACGGCCCAAAACAAACCTACACACCCTTTAGCTTTTAAAGCTCTTAAACTGGAAGCCACAACGAATGGTTTATCGCAAGTCCACTGCTAACTGAAAGCCTTTTACAGTATGTGCTTTGGCATCATTTCAGTGCATTTGATTTTTGACGGGTTTGCTACTACCGCGCGTTGATTTTTGTGTGTTCACCCCGAGACTGGCAACTCATTCCATTTGTTTTGAGACTGTATTGGTTTAGCTTTGCGTGCTCGAGTTTGGGCTTCAGTTCTAAGGGTTTTTCAAAGAAGTTAACTAACGATTGTTCAGTCAAGAGGGAAGCTAAAATATGTTCAAAAGAGACAGTCCAGTCCCCTTCAGTCACAGGTGAAGGCTGAGAGTCTTTGTGAGGGGTTTTCACAGTGTCGGTAAAAACAGTGTCCTGGTCTGAAGCAGAGGCCTCGGGCTGCAAGTCCTCTGTGAACTCATCTGAGCTGCTCCCCAGGCTGATGCTTCTCTGTCCTACTTCCCCAATCTGAAGTAACAGCGTGGTCACAGTGGCAATGGCTTGATACAGATCATTCTCCTCTGGATCTTCGTGAAACATGCTGTACAGGGTTTTGCAGAACTGAATGAACTCCCTCTGGAAAGCAAGAAAAAAAAAACCCAAAATCAAATGACTGAACCGCCATGCCGTGGGTAATGAGGAGTTAGGCAAGAGCATAGTACCACAAAGGAAGGCAGAATGCTGTGTACGTTTACATGCTTGTTAACTTTTGCCCACTTCTAAAAAAAAAAAAAAAAAATGCTAGCAAAGGGATTTCAACCCCCACTGATGCTAGGTAACCTTGGGGCTGCAAATCAAGGGAACAGAGCAGAAAGCCATTTTGCCACCCTGATGCAGGAGATCAGCACCTCCCAGATGACCAAAGCGCAAGTGAGATACAGGGATACAACCATTAGTGGTGGGGAACCAGAATGAGTTACAACCACAGTAGCATGCACAGGCCTGCAAGCAATTTCCCTTCCCACCTTTCTCCATCTCTTCTTTTACCAATAAACTTAAGACATCTTGCCTGCCCAACCCCTTTTTCTCCTTCCTTCAGGCTGGAGAGGATGTTTCCATATCCCGTTACAAAAATCTGTGAGCCCATGGGTTTGATACAGACCTATGAGAGCTAACTCAGGGTGGAAGGGACTGCAGAGCATTCAGTGAGGTGATGCCCTTGTGAGAGATTATGTGACCCTTCTGAGCTGATGGGTTAGGTACATGCCACCTATTCAAAACTTTATTTAGCACCACCAGCACAGAAGGGATTCTGGGTGTAGTCGTGTCTTTCTTTGCGTGTCCATGCATTTGTTTTACCAACATGAGACCCTTTTCTCTCCAGTAGGCTTCCTTATGCCAACAAACATACACAAAGCTCTGCTGGCATCAGGGAGGAGATGGTAAGATGACAAGAGCCATCACAGAATGACAGGGGCTGGAAGGGACCTTGAAAGATCATCTAGTCCAACCCCCCTGCCAGAGCAGGATCACTTGTCTTACTTTGTGCAGTTACAGCCCGCATTTGGCTAAAGACAGGACAAGTCCCAGGTGGTGATGGTGCTGCTTTGTGCCTGCTTCGGTGGAGAGCTCAGGGAAGACAGAACAGCAACATGCATTCGCATTCTCAGGAATCCTTTGGGATTAGGAGGAAGGCTTTTTCCAGCTTGAATGAGCCTATTTTCCAGCCTGTTAGGCTGCAGGTGATAGCAAGTCTGAAATTCTTTCTCTTCACCAGCCAGTCTGAGAGAAGGAAGCTGCAAAGGTAGCTGAGAGTTTTTAAACTCCTGCTCCCTGGACCAGAGGAGTCCAATCCTCCACATCTAAAGGACTGAATCTGAGGCTAAGCTGTATTCGGTTATTTTTGAGTACCTTCCATTTCTTTAAAAACGGACTACAGCCTCTAGTGTACATACCTGGCTCATTTTTGGCAGTTCTTTTTCAGTTTTAGTATCCTTTTCTTTGGCTAGATCCTTCAGCATCTGCTTCAACTGCTTTTGGTAATCTACTGCATCACCTTTTTCGTAGCAGACAAAAAGGACAATTAGTTCTCAAGTCACTAGAGCAAACTGACATTTCCAAATAAATCCCAGAGAGCAGAGATAGTAGAGTGGGGTTAACAAATGAAAAGTTCGTTATCTCATATGCACATGCAGCAGAGAACCACTTTGGACGTACCATTTGCTTTTCCAATGACTAGTGGTCTTGAAGTTGACAGCAAAGGATTCTTTAATGGTGACTGGCTGTCTCGTTCATTTTCTGTGAGAGCTATCAAAAAAAAAGTGACAAATGCAACGGTTAATACTTCGAATGCTGCTCAATGGTTATGCTTTAAAATTTATATATTTGAAGAAAGCAAAATAATGGGGCAAACATTTTTAAACAGTACTTCCTTAAATCATACGGCAAAATTATGTTAATGTAAGTAAGACTGGTGCTGCAGCGAGAGAGTTGGAAGCTTGCTAAGAATGGCACATTTAATTAAAAACTGCACAGGGAAACTACCACAGAATTTTGTCACCTAATGAGAACTAGATCAAGATGTGATAAGGATATTTCTACTGTATACAGAATATGAGCCATCCAAAAAATGTTATTTCAGTTCTCATTTTGTCTGGAAGTAACCATATGATCAGCTGCAAAAGATCTCTGAATGCAGCAGATGTGAACGTTGACACTGTATATCTGTAAATTTTGACTGGACTGATTTTTAAAATGCAGTGCGCATAATTACAAATGCACATCCTGTATGCTCCCAGCTGAAGGAAGCAAGAGAAGTTTTTTCATTAAGTAGCCTTTTCCCAAAAGCAAGAGATTTGGGGGAGAAACTGAGGTACTCATTCCCTTTCCAACTTCTTACCTGGTGGGATATGCAGCTTATATAGTAACTTTATCTTTTCATTCATTTCTCCATTATACATAACATCTGCAAGGGGAAAAAAAAATAACACTAAGGAAGTGGACCAGAGCATTTACTTCCACAGTTTAAAATAAATCGGGCATCTCTTTCTGCACAAAAGATAATTGTTTGCACGGACAATACATGAAAACATATGGCCAGTATATTACACTGAAATATTTTAAGTTGTGCCTGTCAATGAGGAATGGCAGGTGACAGCCATCTGGTTTGGTCTTTGTTTTTCTGAAATAGACTGGGACTACCTAACCCTCTGGAACTTCAGCAACATTTAAAAATAACAAGGAGAATATCACAGACTCTAGCCTTTACTGAAAATGCCATTTGAGGCCATCATATTCTTAATATTCCTCCCCTTGAGCCCTTACTGCTATTCTATAGTGTAAGCCCAAAGAGAGAGCTACTTCACATGTAATATGATTCATATTTTCAGTTATCAGTAGAAATGAGATTCTAAACTTTCAAATACACTGAAATACTGTGAAGGCCTTTTTTTAAAAAAAAATAAACGTCCAAGTTGTATCCTTTTAAGAATCAAAATCAAATAACCATATAATATAGGGTACCTTCATTCACATTAAAAAAATCTAAAGAGCTTCAAATGGCAAGAATACAGATTTAATAATTTTTACTGAAGCTTTGGACATTGATTCAGAGTTTTTTTCCACTTGGAGTCAGACAACAGTTGAGATGTGACACTTGTTTCTCTAGAGAGATTTTTGGGATAGGCACCCTTATTTCATGAGAACAGCTGGTGACTTCAAGACCAACCCTAGCACAGCTCTCAATCCCTACTGGCCAGATTTTTTTTATTCTGCTTATTATGAATATATAAGCCAACCAGCAGTCGGTTGTCTAAGTCTTCAAGAAGCAGTTACAAAGGTATTTTGAGATCTCAAAGATACAGAGAACAACAATCTAGTAGAGAAGATTTCCAAGCACTCCATGGCAGACCCAAGTATAATTTTAATTCATAAAACACTTTGAGCAAAATTACTATTGCTGTAACACTAAATGTGCAGTGGGAACTAGCAGAGCGATCTTTCTTTATCTAAAGGCCAGGTGCAAGGCTGGGACACTAACTGCCTCTTGCTTTGTTAGAAGCATGTTACAAGACTGTGAGACCAGAGTCCTGGCTTGGGTGAGAAATATGTGATTAAGGACTGAAATAGACAGGGAGACTCCCTTGTATTCTTCCTTTAGCCCTGTCCGGGCTGTGGGAGGAATCCAACAGTGGACAACACCAGATGTTCCTGCATTTGAAGTTACGTAAGGTTGTTTATTTAATGGTGTAAAAGCTGGACCCTCTTGCAGTGACTTTGGAGACCTTGCCTACGAGTGGACACACTGCGTAGGGCTTCCCAATTGCCGGGACGGTTCTCTAGAATCCTTGCAGCAACAGGGGCTCCCCAGCCACCGCAGATCTGGATGATATTAGGGCAATTGGTGATGTATCTTTCTTAATAACTATTGCTAACTCTATATAGTAATGTTTAGGTGCATTACCCTGCTTGTTCTCCTTGCTGCTTAAACCTAGACTATAATAAGCTTGCATTGCCTTATTCATGTAATACTTTGAAACGGACAGTAAAATAAGCTGACCCTTCTGTTGGTGCCTGGGTCCTTTTCTGCAGTACCCCCCGCTCCCCAGGCCAATTAGCAAAACAGTGTCTCACTCGTGTGCCACCACCTCCCTGCAATCCCAGCTCTTTCCACCCCTCCAGGGAAGCCGATACCTAAGCA